TGAGGACTCCAGCTGACTCAACACTGTGATCAAGGCCGGTTTTAGGGCACTGCAACTTATGCGCCGCAGTGGGCTCCGTACTTTCATAGGCCCCGCGCGAAATCTAGATGTAAATTATTAAATTAAACCATTTTAAACTTATCATTTATGGCTTCCTGGAATTCTCCTGCAATTGCAAAATATACGAAAAAGCCATGGAAATGTCCTGAAATTATTAAAATCTTCTGAAAACTCATTGGAATCTCCTTAAAACAGACAAAATTGTCATTTTGGGGTGTCATTCAATTTGGAAAACGCCAATCCTACTCACAATTTTAAAAAAAAACGACTATGTCATCTTTCATTTAATGAAATTGCAATAATAACGCGTATTTTAACCAAAACAAGATCTTCAAATAATTAATTTACTTTAATAGTCACTGGCTAGTCGATAGTAAATCTAAAAGGCAGATCTGAATGTTTATCGGCTTTTTGTTGGAAAACTATCCACTGTAGATGTCTCGTAAAGTTAATTTGGAAGTGATTTTGCACTTAGTAAAGAATGAATAAAATGCAAAGACAAATTTACAAAAAACAAAATACAAAAATTTTAATTTTCACTTATTATCCTTATCCCTACCCAGACTGGGCCCCGCGTAATCCGTTTCGCGTAGGGCCCCGCAATATGTAGGACCGGCCCTGACTGTATTCTTTGGTGAGAGCAGATTTAATTTTACGCTTCTAGCCTAAGAAAAAAATAATTGTCGTTTTATTTTAAAGTTTTATCTCCAAGCTATTGGATCTACGAAAAATTAAGAATAATGAATCGATGTCCACAGTCCCAATGCCTCCCGCTCACTGCTGCGACAAAGACACAGAGATCGGAAGTTACTTCATCCCCAAAAACACAGCAATCATAATCAACACAGACTCGCTGTTGATGGGTCCGGAGGTTGGAGATGACCCCACAGCGTTTCGACCTGAAAGATTTATCGACGATGAAGGCAAACTGCACTTTCCTAAATGGTTCATTCCTTTCTCGGCAGGTAACAGAACAATGATTCAATAAGTTTTACTGAGCGTTGCAGCGTACACTTGTAAAAATTAGATCTAAACAGGCCGGATTTAGGTATGTGGATGCCCCGGGGCAGATTTTTTGTGGAGGCCCTTACAATTTTTCGTAAGTTTTAATAAAAATCCAATAATAATTTTTTTTTTATATTTATATCTAAAAGCATGCCATATTATAAAAGAAAGTACTTGAAAATTAAATTTTATTTTCCTTCATTTTAATTAATAAAAATTATTTAATATGCTAGTTTCAGTTTTTAAAAAATGTAAATTTTCAGGGTTTACGCAATGTATTTGGTTTATCCGAAGGATATTACGACAATACGAGGACACTATAAATGGACACTTTTAAATCACGAAAGTGTTGCCAACTGTAAGCTTTAAACTATTGTTGGTAAAAATGCGAACACAATATGTTTAAAAATACGTAAAATTTTTGACCTGTCCAAATACAGATTTTTTTTTTTCAGTTTTTTTTTTTTTGGGGGGGGGGGGGGGATGCCCCTTTCTTGTGGATTCCTCTGGACTGTATCCCCGCCTGCCTTCCCGTAAATCCGGCCCTGAATGTAAATATCTGTTTTTTTAGTTTATTTATCTTTATCTAAAGTTTTTATTCTATTTTTCAGGGAAAAGAATGTGTATTGGAATGGCAGTTGCTAGAAAAGAACTGTTGGGTTTTATTATTGAACTACTTTCCAAGTTTGAATTTAGCGCTCCGAAAGTGAATGGACGAGAATGCATGCCTCCTTTAGAGGGAATCAATGGGATTTCCCATTCACCCAAGCCCTTCCATCTATGTGTAACTCTTGCTGGTCAGAGGAAATAGCGGACATCTCATTATCATCTGCCATGACATAAATTTTTTAAAAAATGCTGCAAGTGTTTTCACAACACAAAGAAACGGACTCACAACTGCTCATCAGTAAAAAAGAGATACTACCAAAACAAAAAATTGACTGGGACCACAGCTAAGTAAATCTTTAAAAAATGGCTATTGTTATGTATATATATATATTTATTTATTTATACATTTTTTGTATGGATTTTCTTACAGGAAAAAAAAAGGCTTATTGCTTTAATTCGTTATCTGTCTCTCATGGAGTTTGAGAATCATAGTTTTATTTTTAGAACATTTCAGCGTCTCAGACTTTTCAATTCCGAATACAATAGATATACATTTTTTCAAGTTACATGAAGTTGCTTTTTTCAGCCAGTCTATATTTATTTATGTCTATGCTTAAACAATAGGAAATAGACGTTCAGGAAAAGTGTGCGCACCTTCTTCAGTTTACACAGCTGTCTTTTTATGTTTTTAGTCTGGATGTATATCACCAAACTAAAGTTTTATAGACTGAGTAGATTCATAAAAGGGCGTAATCAGGATATTCACTACTGCGGGAGAGGGGGCAAAGGAGCTTATAAATAAATGTTGTTTTTTTTTTTAAATCTATCATTCATTAGGTTCAGAGTTGTCGCACTTTTAGAAAGTCATCAGCTTCACATTAAGGAGGAATTGCCTTTTTAAAAAAAAAAACAACTTTTTTTTGTTTCTTATTTATGTGCAAAACTTACTTTTCTTTATTTCTTGTATTGTAAACATACTTTTCTTTATTTCTTGTATTGTAAACTTACTTTTCTTTATTTCTTGTATTGTAAACTTACTTTTTCTTTATTTCTTGTATTGTAAACTTACTTTTTCTTTATTTCTTGTATTGTAAACTTACTTTTCTTTATTTCTTATAATGTAAACTTACTTTTCTTTATTTCTTGTATTGTAAACTTACTTTTCTTTATTTCTTGTATTGTAAACTTACTTTTCTTTATGTCTTGTATTGTAAACATACTTTTCTATATTTCTTGTATTATAAACATACATTTGTTTATCGTCTTGCATGATCTTTGTTTTGAAATTATCATAATCTGCCTCGTTCTAGAGAAGAAAAAAGTGCCCTTTTCCTCAACTTCCCCCCTTCTCCCAATGTTTTGAAATCAATATATAGGCTTTGCTTTCAACTAACAAGATTTGGTTCCGAAGATACAAAGTAGTTACTGAATCATAACCAGTTTTTCACACATATCATTTTAGTCGGTTCTACTATCTATTTATTACATTGTAATTCGCCCTCTAACACACTTAGCCTACTTAATTCTTAGAATCCGTAGGAGAGAATCTCAAATCGTCTGACAATTTGGTTGGTCGTATTGTTAGTTAACATATCACTGCAGCATGGGAGATAGTTTAGTGTTGGTCTCTGATGTAAAAAACGAATTCTTAGTTTTTGTTATTGTATTATGTATCCTGCCTCTATTTTCTTTTTTCACAGCGATATCTTTTTCAATTTCGCCAATCGGTTAAAAAAGAGGTGACTGAGTTAAAAAGAATTTTTCTTATCTTGATCCGTAAACATTTCAATCAATGAAGACAAAAGCATTCAGTGCTAAACCATATCTTGAATGGGAGGCATGTATATGATCCATAAACATTTGGCTGTGAAGCAAAATACTTGCACTTATTATATGCCATGTTGGAAATGAAACACTGCCAGATTCCATGCCTTTCATTTCCTCAGAAATGTGTCTAGACACATTTACACCGGCCACCAGAATAATACGTTGAAGAGGTAACTATCATTCTCCACGGGTGAAACTTTGTAAAGTCTTTTACTGTTTATGAGGCGTTTAAAACAATGGTGCTTAAACTACGGCCTGCGGGCCATATCCGGTACGTGACGCGGCCCCACCAAGCTTCTGCCCGCGGTGCTTCATGAGACCGCAGAGGTTGCATTGGACTGGACAATTTTATGCCGGTTATTCGGGCCGTGACTTATGTCGGAAGTTTACATATCTCTGTCAAGCCTATACAGCACTTGTCTGACACTCGTAATTTTAAATGAATGTATATATATAATTCTCTTCTTCCCTCAAGAGTAGTAAGGAGTAAAGGAAAGATCACTCTGCGGATAGTCCACGAGAAAACAAGAGGGGTGGGAGAATACGTAGTCACAACATAGCAGGGCAGGACCGACTGCAATATCATTCTTTTTTTTTTCTTCCTCACGGTAAAAAAGAAAGGGGGGGGGGGGGAGTAATCTACTCTGTAGTAACTATCTGTAGTAACAGAGCACGCTCAAGAGTTTGGACACAATGGCAAGATCACTCATTTATTTTTGCAACTCGGACGGTGGGAGTTATCCTAGGTAATTTCAGAGCGAAAAAAAAAAGAGATTTTCGTCTGTATATTTCAGGAGATTAGTTTGAGTTTTCAAAAGATTTTAATAATTTCCGGATATTTCCAGGACTTTTTCGTATATTTTGCATTTTCAGGAGATTTCCAGGACCTCATGTTATAAGTTATGAAATGGTTTAATTTAATAATTTATATACCTAACATTAGCGCGGTTTCTATAAAAGTGCTGGGCCCACTGAGGTCGCATAGGATGCAAGGTTTGCCCTGCAAAATAGCGGCGTAGCATTGGATGACTAGCGTAAAATATTTGGGTAATGTAAATATTGTGCTATATATATATATATATATATATATATAATTCATGTTTGTGCCGTATCAATGTTATTCATCAAAGGCATTCCTTGAATGAGGTTATTATCACTGTATTATCAATTATTATATCTTATCACTCGATTTTTCGCTATTGAATTTTAATGATATCAGGTTGCTCTCCCCTGAATGGAAAAGTTGAAAATGTCTTTGAAATTACTTCCCTTTTCTTTTCGCAATCCTTATAACAGCATGCACTGAGTATGATATGGGGGGGGGGGGGGGGGGGCCTAACTAATCCTTTGCTAGCCTTTTACCGACCATACAAAATCTTGGACACGTGACCTCCTTAGAATTTTACGTCCTTCTCTCTGTGGAGAAGCAAGTAGTTTTTTGTTTTGTTGTTTGTTTGTTGTTTTTTTGCTTTGTTTGATGTTATTGTCAACAAGCAATTTTTTTAATTATTTTTTTTTTTTGGAAGACACTTTTTGAAGCTACATGTAATTTGAGCAGACGCCATGATTCCAGTTCAAAGCCAATGGAAATTTTCTTTTCGTTTCATGGTCGTCTGTAAGAATTCTATGGAATATATACATATTTCCTTCTAAACACCAATATAGATTTAGATGATTGCAACAGAATCTCATCAAGAAAAAGTACAAACATTTTGCCTCCTGACATAAGTAATGTAAATGGAAACTGTATCAGAGAATAAACATTACAATCTCTTGATGTTTTTTGTTTTGTTTTTGTTTGGCTTATGTTTTTGTAGCTGCTGTTCAATCAAACTTTAACAAAAAAATTGAGACTTTTAAAAAAAATATATGAACAAATTTATTTACATAAAAACTTCAACATTTTAATAGAATCAAATACAAATATAAAAGTATATATATATATATATATCTAGCATTATAATATTGAATATAAATAAACTATATACATTTTGACATTGGATAGTAAAGCTTGGATGCATAAAGTTGTATTCATGCTGTGATTGAGTTACATCCAGTGAGACTTATAGAGTTTGCCATCTAGCATAACATAAGCATTAGTCAAATCTTTAGAGAATGGTCATTCAAAGAGTTCTTACTATTTGACAGTAGAAATGTGTCTATATTGCATCTAAATCAGAACTTTTCCAGCTAACAAGGTTTGTTGAAATAGGCAACATTTACATGCCGTTCCATCCACAAAAGACAATAAGTTTAATCCTGGAGATTTACAGTTACACTTGATAGTCCTTAAATAACAAACTCTATGAAAGAAAAAAACGATTGTTCCGTAACATTTTCTTCTATACCCATAAGTTAATAAGGTCTTTCGTGGTCGTCATATAACGATTGGTAATTATTTTATGGCTGTCCACTGTCCAAGTGACTCAATAAAAAAAGGTAAAGGTGGTACTTTAACAAAACATTAAAACCCTCAGCTTTCCAAAGTTAGCCACACTAGCTACCACTCAGATATTTACAACAGTTGCTCATAGTTACAGAACTAAAAGTTTGTTGCAGGCCGTACACAAGGATAGAAATGTTATACACTTGTTGAATTCCTAAGATGCCACAAAGGTTATTACTAAAATTAAAGTTTTAAGGTACAAAATAGTTAAGAAAATTAGAATACATTTCATGAAGTCAGAATTCCCATGGTAATTATTTCAACCAATTACTCACATTAGGCCCCAAGTGGCAAGACACAAATTATAGTGATCTTTAGACTTGCAACAATTCCCAACCCCTGGACTCTTCTCATATAAAAACATTAGTGGACGGATCAACACAAATTGAGAGATTTAGGTGCTCAGACAAATCAAAAGTGAATTATAAACACACAAAACAAAAGGTTTTATCTTAAAAAAAAAAAAAAAGGTGACCTAAAAACAAACCAAATAAATGCTGTTCACCAAACAGAATTCTTCTGAGATATTGAAACCGGCACAAACAAAATAAATTGTTATCTAATATCAAGAGAGCACAACATAGCTTAAAATGTGCAGATGTGCCAAAATAAAACCAAATAGGAGAATACAAAAAGAATGACATCACAGATTGGCTTTGATATAATCATGAGTTTATGTTCAAGCATGGACACAAACTACAAGTCAAATAAAATTATACCACAAAATTAAATTTTGGGAGATACTTCCTTTAAAACAAGCAATAAAATTGTAAGGGAGATGTGTTTCAATAAACAATACAAACAGAAAAGTAAAAATCTTTTCAGTAAATAAATGATAGTCTTCAGATCTATCTCCCTTCACTCAACTCTTAATACAATACACAATTCACTATTATAACCAGGATTGAAGAGTATATAACATGAATATCTATAGGTTCCAACTACTTTTTAAAAAAATTCATCCAGCTGGAAATATAACAAAAAGTCGCTGGAAATATAACAAAAAGTCTCTGGAAAAAAAATTCATCCCAGTAGATCAAAACTTAAAGTAGATATTTTTTGAAATAAACACAAAAATAGCATTTGTTTTATTTATATATAAAAAAATGCTCCTTCTTTTTTTAAGTGGACTTTTTACAAATTTTCTTCAGATCCAAAGAAAACAAAACTCCAGGAAATGTCATGAGTCCATACAAGTATAACTCAAGTCACATCTTCTTGTGAATAAAGTATAAAAAACATAAAAAGATGATACAAAATAGTTATTAAATTTTACAAAACAATTCATCAAATGAAGTCTATAAAATATTTGATCCAATAAAAGAAAAGATGCATGCGTGTAGAAATGAAAATATCTTTCAACGTTTGTTCAAATTATCCTCACAAAGTTTCATTGATTAAAACAAAACATACTTTTAATCTAACAACTCAAGTGATATGTAAATATTTCACTGTCACAAAACATGGTTAAAAATTCTAATTCGTAAAAGAAGAAACAAAAAGTAGATTATATTGTAAGTATGTGTGAAATTACACTGGCCTTAAATAACAATTCAATTATAAATAGGTCTTGTCAAAGATCAATCCCCTATCAGTCATCAAGGCATTACAGCAAAACAAAAGCTTATAACTGAGAGTCAGCTTCACATGCTGGTAGTCAACCTGAATCAATCTTACAAAATGGTTACAATAATCTATTAGTATATAAGATAAGTGCTGCACAGATGTCTAGGTAGGTACAAGTAAGCAGACAATGAGCCAAAGATCCAGTCTTTGTCAATAACCGTGTTCAGTCCAAACAGAGGCATCAACATCACATAATTTCTGGTGTATACTGAAGTACTAAGACTTATAGGCAACAGTGAATCAGCTTAAAACTGATATGCCAAATAAACATTTAAACCAAACTGACCTAAATAAAAACTTTGAACAAAACCATTTCATTTCATTAAAAAAAAAATTGTATACAAAATTTCTAGCATAATTTGCCTTAATGGAATAACACTGCCACAGGTACAAAATAGTCAAATATCTCATTTTACAATATCTCAACTGATTCCACATCAGACTATACTTACTATTCAATAGCTAAGTATAACCAACACTTTTTATGCCTGTGTAGAGTAGCCGAGAACAGCACGCAACTTTTTTTTATGGTGCAGACTTCAAAAGAAAAGGAAAAACACAACCTTTGACTTCATCATGTAAACAACTCAACAAAAAATACACTTGTACCATCAACTACCCATCCTTTTTGTAATGCATAGTTTCAACCATTTGGAAATCAGATACAGATCCCCAATTAATTAAATCCTTTTTAGCATAAATAAAACTTCATAAGCATGCTATTTATACAATAAGAGTGTCACTTCATATTTCACAAGCATTCTATTTACACAACAAGAGTGCCAAGTCTGTGCCTTTATTCCTAGAACTAGTGTTAAAGACATTTTAAGACATTCTACCATGTAGTAATACTATAGCCTTCAAGATATTACCTGGGATACAAATATAACAAAAACTTGCATAACAATGTTATTAACAAAATCAATTATCACCATTATATAACATAAGAGTGAACTCGTATCTATAACATCTTCATCAAGAATCAATACATTGAGTTCATTGTCACTATTTTTGCAATAAACATTTTACTTTTATCATAACATTCTCACCATTCAACAAAATTTATATTCAAATAATGAATCAACAATTTTGTTCAGGCAAACTACAAATGGCCAGCATGTTTTTTATCTGGCAAGTTAGATACTGTCAAGAAGCAAGCTAAACCGTTTCTTCAGTAGTGTCTAACGCGTATCTCATCTTGATCATCTAGCTCCAACCGTACTTTCATCCCATACTTGGGAGGTGTTGCCACCAGTGGAGTGTCTTTTTGAAGGTCATTCAGATCCATTGTGCTATGTCTGTTGTGTTGAGTTAGAGAAATGTAGCTTCAGAGCAGATATCATAGTATAACATAGAGTGAAACACTGCCTTTCAGCCAATGGTTAATAATAGTCTTGGTGAGAAAATAAATTATTGCTACTTAGGACTTTAACCACTTTGTCATATCAATATACCACAATAAATAATTTTTTTTTTAAATAATATATTTTTGCATTTTACTTGATATGATACATTTATAATATATACTTTTTTTTTGCATAGAAAAAAACAACAAAATAGTTTAGATCTATTTTCATGATACTTCTTATTTCCTAAATTAATCTGATGAAGGTATTTATTTCAAAAAATAAATATTTCAAGCCAATGCTAGAGCTCCTGTTTCACAATATGGTGATCAAATGTGTGATCTTGAAGCACATGAGCAGGTAGATTTAAAAAAGTGGCTGTCTAAGAAGTGTGGAAAAAAAATTGATGGGTCAAGGCAGCAGAAGATAACTGAGAACTTTGAAAACCAAAGGTATAAGATATCAAGGTGAAGGTTATATCCCCTTCTTGTCTCAATCCTGTGCAATCAATGAATTCCAAAAGGATACAAAGATTCAGTTTTAAGGTGAAGGTTTGTAACAGGACTGTCTACTCTACTTCGTTGTTTCAACCACTCTTTTTGCGCTGCAAGCTGTGTCTGAATTGATACTATGGGCTTGGGTTCCAAAAAATTCATCCTAAATTGGCGATCTCTGTGGATCGATACAAAAATACATACACATCAAATTTACAAATCAAATTGTAAGATCATTGATATATATATGCATAGAATGTTATTGTCCTAATGTAAAAGTAAAGTTCCTGTTTCAGATCCATAGATGTAATGGTCATCTGTATTTGTGGCCCACAGTTAATGGAGGGTGTCATGTGGCCAGCACAATGACCTACTGTCTTTACTTTTCCCCAACTAATTAGAGCTGGGTGGACCTATAGGTACCCTAAAATTGTCCTAATGTAACAGCCAAGCCATAAATAAGCCCAGGAATTTCTGCTAGTTATTTTCATTATTTGTTTTTTAGTTCAGTACAAAGACCAGTTGATTAGGTAAAACACCTCTCACAGTAAATGGGTTAAAATCCATGATTATATTACCAACTAAAATCTTAAAGTTAAAATTAATATGGGTATGGCTAAGAAATGCGTGATCTGAAACAGAGTACTCAAGATAAAACAAAAACTCCTCTCACCTGATAGATAATGAAGCTGATCCCAAACCATGCGAGGGAGCTTGATAGGATAATGCTGGTGTGTATGGTGTGTATGGAGGTCTGTGATCTACAAACCAAAAATATATTTCATTAATAGAAAAATAGGAACGACAAAACTCCAAACTGGATAAACTGCATAAAAAAACATCACTTTTTTCTATAAACCTAATCTAAGCTAAGAAGTAGGTATTTAGCAATGAATTGATTAAGTTTCTTAAGAATAAAAATTGGTTACAACATCCATTACACCATTTATAACAAATATTTTGAAACATATATATATTCAACATTTATCTTTTAGCAACTGTAACTTGGATGACAGGTGAGACACCATTAAAGTAGATGTTCTTGTATCCCTGATTTTCATAGCATTTAAGTTCAAAGAAGGGAATCTGTTGCCTTACCTCCAAAATATTTTCTCCACTTGCGTTCCAATGATTGCTCTGCTGTGTTTACAAGGCTGGAGAAATGTCTAGGTGGAGGACTAGATAAACAATGAAACATTTCATAAACCTTTGTTCAAAAATTGTTTAAACATGAATGCTAGTACAGCTTACTCTTTAGTTCATAAAATTCTTACACATCGAAGGGGTATAAAGTTAATTTGTTATCATAGTCAGCATTATTATGGAGTGTGTGTGTGTTTCTGATGTAACCATGAGTAAAACTAACGCATATAATGTGTTTCTTTGAGCACAATAGATTCTGATGTAACCACGAGGAAGTCTGTCATAACTGAGATGATAAAAAGGAGAGTGAAAGTTGTTGTAAAGTAATATACTTCCTTTCAGACCTTGCAATCTATAGGGCAGATAATGTAAAGATCATCTGTTTCTGTGGC